TGGCGATAATTTTGTTTGCGTTTTTATCCCTCAATAAGTAGCTATATATTTATTGTAATAAATTCCAGGTACCTCCAACACCGATATCAGTTGCCGACATAGGTCAGAAAAAGTCGAAAAAGAAGAGAAACATAACACCCGAGGTGAGCGAGAGCTCCGGTGAGGAGTACGACCCGACGCGCGGTGACACCGCGGCCGCGATGAGCCTGGCCGCGCCCAAACCGCGACAAACGCGCCAACCCCGCCAACCGCGCCAACCCGCCCCGCCCCGGACACGCCCACGAACCCGTACGCGCAAACTTAACAATAATAAAAGTAAGATTATTTATACTCAATACATAACATGTATCTTGACTAATTTGCTTTAACAGCACTCTTGAAATTCAAATTTTACCCGCAAATCGCATAATCATGTAGTATTTTTAGATAATATTATGACTCGATTTTATATCTTGATTACCTATAACTTTTTATAAATGATTTTGCAATATTATTTTATACTCGTAAACGATGACTTGTTAAAGTCGCGCCTAATTTATTTTATACTATATTTGGGATCAGTTATTGTTAATGAAATGAATACCAAATTAGTATCTATATCTTCAGAATTTATGTTGAAGATTGTGTAAAGCTAATTTTAAATTACTATTAAATTTCTATAATCATTGTGATGTTTGTTTGAACTTTAATTGATTACAGGTAAAAGTGAAAAGACTGAGAAAAGTAGAGTTAGTGGAGAAGATAGTAAGAGTAAAGAAACGGGCCCTCAGAGCCCATGGGCTTCCATGCCTGAAGATATTTTATTCAAAATATTTGATTATGCTGTAGCCATTCAAGGTTCTATACCTACTGTCATCAGGTAAAAACACGATATTAATTAACGGTGAATAATGGAATGTTTTTTGTGTTTAACCAAGGTTTTTCCCTTTAGGTTGAGTCGCGTATGTAAATTGTGGTACACCGTCAGCTGTAAGCCGGAGTTGTGGCGGAATGCAGACCTTGCGCAATTCACTAGTGAAAAATGCAAAACAGATTACAAACTGTTGTGGCTCCTCGAAAATCGATTGTCGCTCTGTCATACTCTAAATATTGGTACGTCTGTTTCTCAATCATTGAAGACGGAATTTTCCACTTATATTGTGTCGCTTTTATATCTTTTAATCGATAATTTTGTATCTTACCAACTACACTTAAAGTGAGATTTTTAAAATCTAAATCAAATCAAATATATTGAATACAGATAAAGTTATAAACGGCTCATAGTTAATAATACTTGGAAATACATGTAAAATAATACAAAATTTTGTTTACCAAGCGCATAAGACGAAAAGTATATTTATATCTATACTAATATAAAGAGGAAAGATTGGAGTTTGTATCTATTGAAATAACTCAAAAACTGGAAAGATTTCAAAAATTCTGTCACCATTAAAAAGCTATGTTATCACTGAGTAGCATAGGCTATACTTTTACTATTTCATACAGGCGTAGTCGCGAGCAACAGCTGGTATTTTTCTAATAGTGAGTTTTTTCGGGTATAGCTCAATGGAAGGTGTCCAATGAGACGTTGGTGCTGGCGTGCGTGGCGGACTACTGCCCCGGGCTGGTGGAGCTGAACGTGGCGGGCTGGAGCCGCATCACGCCCGACCAGCTCTACGACCTCATGCAGGGCCTGCCCAGCCTGCAGCGCCTCGACCTCTCCCTCACGGTATACACAAACTTTACTACCATTTCTGTTTATTACTATAGTAACAGCGGAGAGGTACATTTCTTCTTCCTATCCGTCCTTTAGTTTGCAAAACACTACACCTCTTCAAACGTTTTTGCTTTGAAACTCGCTATTTTGTTTTGGAGCTCTCTTCTTTAAATCGAGCAAGACAAATTAAGCATAGAAATGAAAGTAAGAGAAGTATCTGAGATTTAGTAATGAATTGTCCAGTTTAAATGAGCATCAAGTGTCAGATTGCAGTGTAATAATTAGTGTGTTGTGCAGTCGGAGATGGGCGGGTCGAGCACGTGCCTGTCCGTGGCGTCGATGGCGCGCCTGGCGGAGAGCTTCGGCCACCGCCTCACGCACCTCACCCTCGCCAACAACAAGTTCACCTCGCTGCCGCAGATACTCAGCTCCGTCGCTGTCAGTACATCAATATAATATTTATGTGATGCTATAGTTTAAGGGCCTGTCCCACTACTGGCTGATAGAGACTCAGATAGCTTAAAAATGCCGTCACTGTCAGATAAGGTAACAATTAACAAGATCCGATATTTCTATCACATATTTTACACGTTGGATTGTTATCCGACAATTTACAATTTGGTGGGACAGGCCCTTAGAGTTTATCCTAAACATACAAATTAAAAAGTACATTATGATAATTGTCCCGCGAATTTTTACTGTCTATTTTCATGTAACTCAGAAAGGCGGTGACTTAGAATTCTTGTAGTCTATACTAATATAATAAAGTGCAAAAACTATTGTTATGTAGGATGTCAGCAATCACTCCGTATTTTTGAATAATCGTATTATTTATAAAAATTCCTTTACGACACGCTATAGACTATATATTTTCAGGTTATTTAATTTGGGGGTGAATAATTTAAAAAAAATTGCCACGCTTGAAATTCAGAATCTTTTGGGGCTTATTCTCAACCGTCACCCCGCTCATCCCCCACGTGGCGGCAAATGAGAATAAAATGTTTCATCCGACCCACCTTAAGTGACGAGGGGACGGTTGGAACTTATTTTATTTCTTAACGGTTCCATCTGTCACCGCATTGGTGATAGTGGAAGTAAAAGGTAGGATGGATGAAATTTTTTATTCTGATCTGTCGCTATGTGGAGACAGAGCGAGGGGACTGTTAGGAATAATCCATCATTCAGACGAAGCCGCACGGGAACAGCT